CACTGAGATTTAATATGTCCAATTATCCCACGTAAACTGTTCAATTAATACCCTGAGTTCCGAGTTATAAAATATTAGTTTACTTAACGATTTATCCAGTTGGAATTCTTTTCAAAACAATGGGATATTAATAATAATAAATCTTTATTAAACGATTCTATAAAAATCACAGTTTATTATCTACCATGAGTTAAGTTATATCAATTTCATCCAGTTTAAATTTAGAGAGAAAAAAAGTATTCTTACGTCAATTATACGCTATAGTTACCCTTCAATTTATAAGTACAATAAATGGTTAACAATATTTATGACTTTTTCATACCTTTATTTTATTTCTAAACCATCCAAATTGATTTTTCCACAAACTCAAATTTTCTAATCCCTAATCTATGCAACCTGATGGTGTAAACCTTTAACATTGATCTAACTTAATGGGTGCTAAAAAAAAATTTTAAAAAACACTTTTTCCCTCAGAGTCTTAATTTTTACCCAATAATAATAAAATTAATATTACAATATCTCTAGAGTGTCAGGACTATGTGAGCAGAAAAGTTTTAGGATTTGGTAAACACTGGTCTAAATAAATGCTCTTTGTCTCTCGGGGATGACACTGTTTGATTTTTTAAACACCCTTTAGATTATAAGTTTAGAAATAACTAAGAAAAGGCATTGATTATCTCAAAAAAATGTTATATAATGAAACACATTTATATTTGCTTTTTGCTTAGCGTATTGTATTTTCTTGCGAGCATAAAATCATTTAAACTTTTTCGTGATTAAGTTTTTATTTAATCAAGCGTATCCTCTGTTCCGCAGTTTTGAAGATATTATCAAGAAACATAAATATTCAGGGCTAAAACAAATACAACTTTAAAGGGACAGATGGCGTAATTTCAAATGACCCAAAATTTAAAAAAAGTGCCATGAACGATTTACGATTAATTTTTTAGTACTTAGGCAGTAAATATGATTTTTGGCTTTTTAAAAAGAACAATAATGTATTTTTATAAACCCATTTTTTTGCAAGTTATATTCAATATTTTATTGGTAATAAAATCTTTAGGCTGCTTAACCAGTCTTAAAACAAGTTTTCTTAAAGAATATGGAATATAATAATTTCCAAAATTACTTTTCTTGATTCTATCCCCATTCACCTGTTATTATAACATAACATAATAAACATAAAAAATTATAAACTTTGTGTGCTGGGTTGTCCCCCCCCCCCCCCCCTTCATCAATGTGGTTCGGTACGTTTTGATAATTGGTTTATTTAAGTTATTGAATAACGACGACAAAAAATGTAACAAAAATTTTACAATAAAACTAAATAGTTGTATTGGAACAGGTTGAGGAAATAAAAATTAACTCTTGTCATCGAAAATAAGTAATCTTATTCAATTATTAGTTTCTATAATCTCTCATTATTAACAAAGATTTTCTGCAAATTTTCTGCAGATTTTTTGCAGATTTTCTGCTGAATTTCTGGAATTGTTATTGATAAGACGACATTTGAAGAATTTGCATGGCGAACAAATTCATGGAAAATAAGAAATTCAATATAATGATGAAAACGATTCTAGCATTGATTTATTGACAAATTTCTTTTGAGAAATATGTTCCAAAACATCTAATTAGTTTAATATAGAATTTTTACAATATTTTTTGTCGTCATTATTTAATCATTTAAAAAACCGATTCTGAAAACGTACCTACCCAAACTGATGATTTTGAACGTCGACTTTGCGCTCAAAGTCAGTAATTATAGATCTTTAAAACGTTTTATATGTCCTAAATGAATTCTAAAAAATTTCTCTACAATACTGCAATCTCAGTTCACTTTAAATATTTTAGTTTTATTGTCTTTCAAGAGGCTTCATAATAATCTTTAAAAAAATACTTCCTTGTTCTTCTTGCTGAAACTTTAAACTTTCAGTTGTGGGTTTTCTTTATATTTAATTTATGATGCAGCAGAAAACTTAGATAAGACTATGAATTTTTTTAGATTAAAAGAAATTCCCTTGAAAAAGGTTTTAATCATTCTGTTATGAATGATTGATTTCCTAAAATTACCTTAAAAATCTGTTAAATGCTCATGTTGATGTAGATTTAAAAAATATATATTTTGTGCTGTCCTGGCTTGTCTAGTAGTTTACACATTTCTAACTTAACAGAAAATCTTGAAATTCTTCAAAAAGCTGAAAGAGGTCAAACCTGCTAATTTTAGAGAAAACAGCGGGAAAAAAATATCCGACAGGGTAAAACCGTTGACGTTATTTTGAGTAGCTCAGATTCACAATCTTTTCTGAGCAGCGAGGAGAAATATATCAGGGTTTTTCAATCCGGAAATAAGTAAATTGTATTCTTTCACTGTATTGAATAAAAAAAAATCAAAATTAAAATTTATCATTTATTAGTTTTTATAGATTTTGCTGAGACAAGGTTAAAATGGTATCGTTGTGAATTGTCAAGGTTTTTTTAATTGAAGTTTATTTAGAATCCATCCCTTTAATATTTTTATACTCTAATATGTGTTATTTGTTCAAATATCAGATTAACATTTTTAAAATAGTCTACTCAGCGTTTAGAAGAGATTATGTTGATAAGAAAATTCTCAAGAAATTTCCTCTCTTGCTCTCTATTTTCAGACTTCGGGGGCAAAATAAAATGTTTTAACTCTTCTAATTGACTTTACTATTTAGAATACTAGAGAGCGGAGTCCAGAAAACGAGTAAACCTTCTGACACCGACAAAGTTCAGAAATCCAGTGAAGATAAAAGCTGGGTTAAATTCTTACAGCCCCCTTATGTTCCCATAAATGCGGTAATAAAATAAAATGTTCGCGGATTTTATATAAAAAACGTTAATTTTAAAAATTTTCAAATATTGAATTTCTGAAAATTCGATCATCCATAAACCTTCCCTGGGGCCAGGTCCCCCGTGGTCCTGCAACAAATTTTGGCCCGATCGGTTTATCCGTTTTAATGTTTATTGGATACCAACAAATGAAGAAACAGAAGAAAACAAATGAATGAATATTTTTTTTCTTCTTCAAAATTATCTATTTGATTTATTTACATCGATATTTTTTAATATCGTTTTTATCAAATTAATTATTGGATTGGTTTTTAAAACATTCCAAAAACCGGAAATTAAAACTTTTTTTGAAATTCTTAATAACGACGATTTTGAACGTGGTTGCCAATGGGTTCACGTGAAATAAACCTCACAGTACAATGTTCATGAATTTTAGTTACCACGAGAGGACAGCAGATCTTTGTACAATTCTATTCTTAGAGATATTCCTGTACATAACATTACAGGTATGTACATTGTACAATGCATAAATTATTTGTAAATATTTTACAAATAATGGTTATAATAATGACAAGAATAATATTGATAAAGATGAAGGGCCCGGCGTTGCCCGTGGAAATTTTTTTTTGGAAAAATAAATTTTTTGAAGAAATTTTTTGATTTTTTTAGCCTATAACCCCCCCCCCCCCCGTCATAAGTGTCCACAAAAAATTTCAGCCAATTCGGTCCAGCCGGATATACGCAACAAATATATGAATGTCTTGTGTAATCATATAGAAGATAATAATAATAATAACACTAATTATAATAATAATAATAATAACACTAATTATAACAATAATAAAAATATTCCAGATTCTGAAAATGAAAACGATTTTGTTGATAAAACAGTAAAAAAGAGCTTGTCAAAATACTAAAAAACTTATTTCAGATGATTCTCCCTGGGAACCGATGCAAAATCCGCATATTCATGTTGTTACAAAGTAAGAATTACTTTTTTTAATCTAAAACCTCGCCAAAATCTATTTTTTTAACCCATACATCGGTGCAACCTAATGTCGTAGACTATAGATATTTCAAGATATGAATTCTGTTATATAATCTAATTAAGGTTGAAATATTAATGGTTAACACCATCAGGTTGCAAAGATAAAGAGATTAAAATGTTAGCATGTGGCTAGCATTCAATTCCTTTACATAGTTTATTATTATTATTATATTCTAAACTCTACACCTAGGACTGAAGAGACAAGGAGAAAGAAAGAAACCAATAACTCAGACAAAATTCAGATCTCAGAACTCAAGTCTGATACAAAAGTTTTAAACCCTGTATTTCATGGAAATGAGAAATTGAAAATTATCCCAACCCAGAACTCTACAAGTGAGCATCATCAGAAACAGGTTGTAAATCAGAATTTAGCCATCAGACAACATCAGACACATGATATACACCAGAATCCTACTCATGGACAGCACCAGACACATCATATAAACCAGAACCTTGGATATAAACACCATCAGACGCAAGAATTAAACCAGAATCATATACATGGACACCACCAGCCGCAAGTATTAAACCAAAATCACGGAGTAAGAGCACACCAGACACCAGGAAAACATCAGAAGCTTGTCCATGTACAACACCAGACTCAAGATTTATACCAGAAACATAGAAATGGACAGAACCAGCCACTATTAGTTTCAAAACTAGATTATCTTAGTTCTCCAGATCCTAATCAAAGGGTACCCCAGAGAGGTGAACCCTTGAGACTCTACTCTCGGATACAGAATTATAAACGAGGATTTTATAAACCTTCTCCAGCCTTGAAAAAGAACCCTAGACAGGTTCCGGTGACAGTTGGACGGAGAAATATTCAATCCTGGAGAAATTCGTCCCGGAGATCCGGCAGAGAACTAATTCCTAGACCTGAACTAGCATTGGGATTATCAACCTTAATCCTGGGATCAATCCTTGCAGTTTGATTCTTGGATCAATCCTAGCAGTTTGATCCTTGGATCAATCCTTGCAGTTTGATCCTTGGATCAATCCTTGCAGTTTGATCTTAGGATCAATCCTTGCCGTTGGATCCTTGGATCAATCCTTGCAGTTTGATCTTAGGATCAATCCTTGCAGTTTGATCCTTGGATCAATCCTTGCAGTTTGATCCTTGGATCAATCCTTGCAGTTGGATCCTTGGATCAATCATTGTAGTTTAATTCTTGGATCAATCCTTTCAGTTTGATCTTTTTAACAATGCTCGCAGTTTGATCCTGGATTCCTTGTTGAGTGATTGTAGTTTGATTTTTGGACCAATATTTGCTGTTTGATCCTTGGATCAATCCATCCAGTTTAAGCTTTGGATCAATAGTTCAATCCTTGCAGTTTCTATCCTTGGATCAATCTTTGTAGTTTGTTTCATGGATCAATCCTAGCAGTTTGATCCTTGGATCAATCCTAGCAATTTGATCCTTGGATCAATCTTAGCAGTTTGATCCTTGGATCAATCCTAGCAATTTGATCCTTGGATCAATCCTAGCAGTTTGATCCTTAAATCAATCCTAGCAGTTTGATCCTTGGATCAATCCTAGCAGTTTGATCCTTTGGAACAATCCTAGCAGTATAATTCTTGTATAAATCCTTGTAGTTTCAATCTTGGACCAATTTTACCAGTTTGATCCTTGGATCAATCTATCCGTTTAAGCTTTGGATCAATAGATCAATCCTTGCAGTTTCTATCCATGGATCAATCTTTGCAGTTTCTATCCTTGGATCAATCTTTGCAGTTTCTATCCTTGGATCAATCTTTGCAGTTTCTATCCTTGGATCAATCTTTGCAGTTTGTTTCATGGATCAATCTTTGCAGTTTGTTTCATGGATCAATCTTTGCAGTTTGTTCCATGGATCAATCTTTGCAGTTTGTTTCATGGATCAATTCCTGTAAAGTGATCCTTAAATCAATCCTTGCAGTTTCTATCCTTGGATCAATCTTTGCAGTTTGTTTCATGGATCAATTCCTGTAAAGTGATCCTTAAATCAATCCTTGCAGTTTGATTATTGGATCAATCTTTGTAATTTAATCCTCGTACCAATATTTACATTTTGATCAGTTCTTAATCCATTCTAGATCAAATACTTATAGAAATTTTACAATCTGATCAATCTCTAAAATTGATCGAGATTCTTTTCTAAATGTTAAAAGAATTTATTATTTGAAATTTTACCGAGAGTTCTAAAAAATAACCATTATTAAGATTTCTAAATTTTTTAGATCAATATTATGTTTAAAATTGTTAAAATTAGAGTCTTATAACCATTGTGCCTATATTACAATCTAGTCAGTTTTTATTTAAAGTTGTTTGTTTTAATGCATAATATATTTCTATCTCTTAAGTTTAAAACATATTTGTATCTGTTAAGTTTTTTTGTATCTATTTAGTTTAAAATATTTTTGTACCCGTTAAGTTTGAAATACATTTGTATTTGTATTTGTATTTGTAATTGTTAAATTTGAAATATGTTTGTATCTGTTAAATTTGAATATATTTTTATCTGTTAAATTTGAATATATTTTTATCTAAAAACTCCGGTTAATTAAAAGTACCAGTCCGACTTTCAGGCATCTATATATATATATGCTAATAGATCTTGTTAGCCTACATTTGTTTAAAAAAGCGTACTGAGTAAACTTTACACTGGGTAGTCTAGCCTGGACGGTACGAGTGAATGTAGATAAGGTACAATTACATCACTAGACCGGGGAATCTAATTACCGTTTCGGATTATCCAACAATCAAGCAGTGTACAATATATATACAGCCTATTATGGGCAGTAAAACGGTACAGTACAACAAGCAGTGTACAGTATATATACAGCCTATTATGGGCAGTAAAACTGTACAGTACAACAAGCAGTGTACAGTATATATATACAGCCTATTATGGGCAGTAAAACGGGACAGTACAACAAATTAATTATTCCTTTAATGGAGATTAATGTGACAAGCTAAAGAGGTGTTTATTTTCAGCATAATTATACTGACACGAATTTGTAACCTCGTTAGCTTAGTTAAATTTATATGTAAATAACGTAATATATTCTTGTAGTTGATTCTTCATTTATAGAGTAGTATGTCTGATTCACAACAGTAACCGGTATACATTTCTCTCAGTTAAAGTGGTGCAGTTGGATTTGGTGGAAATTGATTATTTCTAAATCCAAAAGAAAAATTGATTTTTATTTGAAGAACTTTCTTAAATGACCCTTATTTTAACTAACCGGGGCATGTCTAATTCACAACAGTACCCTTGTCACCTTCTGATCTGATCTAATCTAATTTCAGACAAAGCTTTCACGAGTTCCGTTACGAATCGAATATGTCACTCCAGGGGTGATTATTTTCCAGAATTACCTGGGGGGGGGGGGGAAGTGTTTTTTTTAATGTTTTTTTTTGGTGGGGGGAATGAAAAATAGGACATCTTTTTGGTACTTTTTACCGAAAGATTATTTTACTCCAATTCAACGAATACAGCCCTAAAAATATATATAAATTCTGGGGGGAAAATATTTTCAAATTACGGGGGGGGATTATTTTTGAAGAAAATATACACCAATTTGCTATACTCTATCATGGAGGGTTAAATCACGTTTACAGATCTTTGAAAGGAATTATTTAAAAATAATTAAATACTTTTTTAAAATGAATGACGGTCTTTGCTTATTATTTCTGTCCCCTAGTTGTCCTCAAGTTTTCAAGGGAAAATATTTCTGTTTAACTTGACGTTTTCTTTACGTCAGAACAGTGTACAGTGTCAACATGAAGGGTAGATCTGTGCCGGGGATTTGATAAATATATTGTTTTTGTTTTTACACGTAAATCATTCAGGGAGAGTCAGTTTTGCAAATATGTCCTGTCCTAGCCGCAGAGCTCGGCCCAGAAATAGTGATAACCTAACCCTGAAATAATAAAAAAAGTATTAATTTGTTTAAATTAGTTGAAATTTAGGAGGAGGGCGGGGGGAGGGGGACAAGGGGGTCCAGAAATCGTTCTTTGCATCATCCTTGCAAAATCCTTGCAACATTTATACAGTAAACTATCCTTGCAACATCCCTGCTAAAATCCTTGTTCCGGAAATCATAATAATGTCCCAATATTTCTCCGGGCAATGACAGCAAACCGGTCAACTCGCCCATTTTTTCTGCAAACGTCAGGGATAAGAAAATCTATATACAAATTTGGCTTGTCTGTCTGTTTGTCTGTTTTTCTGTTTGTTTGTATCCAATAAACGTCAAAACGGCTGAACCGATCGGGCCCAAATTTTTTGTGGGACCTCACGTGACCCCAGGGAAGGTTTATGAATGAGCAAAATTTTAAAAATTTGTGTTTAAAAGTTTTTTTTTGAAATATTTTGAAAATGCGCAAAAAAATATTATGAAATCCGCAAATAGATGAAATAGATGATGGGCGCGAAGCGCCCTAAAAGCCTAGTATTTTAAATTTTAATAGATTCTTGCTAGATGGAGTTCATAATAGAATACTAAAAAGGGATCTGACACTTAAAGAACGGGGCTTATGGTGTTCTGAATCAAAGACGAACAAGTTAACGATTTTATCATTCCAGGGAGACACTGTTAAAAAAAAACAATGAATATCTATTTGATAACCTTAATGGTTACGAAATTGGAGGGATCCCATATATTGCAATAAACAAACGGTAAACTGTCGAAAATGTTTATATGTTATAGATCCGGGTTAACAGTACCACAAGAATAGAAAATTGCTAAAGTCTTTATTCTTGCACTATGTGATTTCCTTGGACTGTATAAAATGTATCCATATTTACGCAGAAGATCATGTTCATTCTTTTAAAACTCATCTGCAAACAAAATAGCATAATAAAGACTACAAAATAAGTTATTAAAGAAATTGAGTCTTCGCCACAAATTCGAATGTTTAAATCACTTTATCTTTGCCAACCAATGTTGTAGACCTTATATATTTCAAATTAAAAAATGTTGTTAGATCAGATAATCTAAGTTTGAAATATCAAAGGTTTACTCCATCAGGTTGTAAGATATAGGGATTAGAAAAATTTATTTTGTGGCAAAGACTCAATTCCTTTGTGATCGACAGTTAAAGCTAACTGAGACATGGAGTCAACAGTTATTTAGATATATATGTTTAAAGGAAAGGATACCGTTGTAGATTCGGAAATGGAGGGTCACATGAAATTACGTCTACAGTCCCTTTAAACTAATGTTAAAAAATATTTGGAAAAGAAAAAATCTTCCTGACTGTCCAGTTAACTCCTATTTATTTAGATTCCCCGAAAGCTAATATATTTGCATATATCAACATGCTTACTTAATCTCCATTCTTAGTTTTTAAAATAATTTAGATTCTTGAAAAATATATAAATTCCTAAAAATAATTTCCTCCTGAAAAGCTTCTAAATTTAAGGAATGTTCCTACAAAAATATATTCTATTCATTTGTTCCCATAAAAGGGACTGTAAGCGTAATTTAAAGTGACCTTCCATGGAAAGATGACAATGCCCGATTCACAAAGGTACCCTTGAAAGCTTTATCTGATCAAGTATAAATTACAAATCATTGGTTACAATACTGAAAACGAATTATTTTTAATTGTGGCTTCTATTCAAGAGTGACTTGCGCATTTTTATTGTAGGAAAACATGTAAGAAATATTAGAATTAGACACTTTAAAACATAGAAAAAAAATCCCAATTTCTTCCTCATTTCCTCATAATTGATCGGATAAATGTTGCAAGGGTTGTATAGGGTTGTTAAGGGTTGTTAAGGGTTGTTAAGGGTTGTTAAGGTTGTTAAGGGTTGTTAAGGTTGTTAAGGGTTGTTAAGGTTGTTAAGGGTTGTTAAGGTTGTTAAGGTTGTTAAGGGTTGTTAAGGGTTGTTAATGTTGTTAAGGGTTGTTAAGGTTGTTAAGTGTAACTTTTTCTTCAATCTTTGCATGGAGGGTTACTTGAGAGTAATGAGATAAAAAGCAACTGAGCACTTGCAACAAATTCTAATTTTCTAATCCGAATATCTTTGCAATCTGATTTCATAGACCTGTGATATTTCACTCTATGAATTCTGCCAGATCAAACACTTTAAAATTTCAGTTTATACCATCTGGCTGCAAAGATATAGAGTTTATATTACGTTTTTTGTTTCTTTATGATCGAATATTTAGAGAAGTTATTTTTAAAGGAGCAGTTGAACTTTTCATAGATGGTGAAATCATTTCTCGTTATTCATAAACTAGCTCCAATCTAAATAAAAACAGAGTAAGCAACTCAGTACAATTACACTAATAATTATAAATATTTTATTTTAAAGTTCTTTGAAACACTCTGGGAGTAAAGCTTAAAGTACGTTAACTTTTAAATATTTTAAGTTTTTTGTACTTTTACTTCTTCTTGTGTAATTACGGGAAGGAAAGGCAAAATTTTGAACTGAATTCCTGAACCCTTATCTCTGCACTTCTGGAATTTAACTTTAACATTAAACATAAAAGTATATATTTAGAAACATTTGTCTAGTTTGGATAATTTACTGCAGACTAAACTTAATGTGTCTAGTTTTAAAAGTCTAAACTTAGTACAGTACAGTACATTGCAGTACAGAGGGTCACATTTAATTAAGTCAGCAATAACTTTCCTAAGGTCATATAACCCCACGTGTCATATAAACAATATATCAAATTACATGACATTTCCGAACTTAAGTGAAAATACCTAAGTGAAGTAAAGTAAAAGTTTAATGACTTTCAGGCCAAAGAGAAAGAAAATTTGCTCTGAAATGTAGGATAATATATCTTTGTTCTTTTTTACCTAAAACTGGTGCTTCTAGCCGCGAAGGTCAGAGCGCTTCCTTCAGGTAAAAAGATGTACGTTTAGTATTCCTGGCTGAACGCCAGCTATAGTAGAGGAAATAGTAACTATAGTATTCAAGAAAATACATTAGATAACATTTACAGGGCAGAGTTAAAAACTTTTTTATTTTACTCCACTGTTAAAAAATCCTGTACATTTTGTGCATAACAAATAACTACCGAATACATAAAAAAATTAAATAGTTTCGATTTCGGCCTAACCTGTAACACCAAGACTAAGAGATATAACTTATTTAAAAATGTAACATTTTGCAAAGTTAGACGTGCATGATTTCATGCAAGTTTAAACCCTCGTCTATATATATACTTTGCTTATCTGTCTTTCTGTTTATTTTTTTCTTTGTTGGTATCCAATAAACGTCAAAACGGCTGAACTGATCGGGCCCAAATTTTGTCTGGGACCTCATGTGATCCAAGGGATCTAACAAAATTCGTTTTTTGAAAATTTTGAAAATCCACAAAAATTTTTTTTTTTATTTTACAATGTATATGAAGAGAAAATGTTCACGATTGAAATAGAAGAAATAGAAAAAGCCTATGTAGCTGATATATTTTTGAAAATATCCAGAGACAATTTTGAGCTCACTAACTCTCAATTGAAAACAAGATAAATGATTTTTTATACTTTACGGAACAGCAATTAAGGTGATGACGTCAGTTCAAACTACATTTCCCCTTCTTTTTTTCATCTTATTTTTTTAATCAATTTTCTTTTAAAGAAAAAAATTTGTTAAAGAAAATTTTATAAAGACTCTTGTATCTTATTTTTATCTGATCATACCTTTGTTTTCTGTTCTTCTCTTTTAGATCTACGCATTCTATAAGTCTCTTGTAGACAAAGGAAAAATGTATGTTGACACATTTCTCTTGATTTTCATCTTATTTAATCGGGGAAAAAATTATCAAAATTATTTTCTTAACGTTAAAAAAAATTTGTTTTAAAATGTAAGGTGATCCTCATGAAACTGAGGTAAAAGAAAAACGACATCAAAACCATCGTGTTCTTGTGTAATTGATGCTTTTATCAAGTAAATACGTTCGATAGTATAGCTTAAAAATCAACTTAAAGTGAAATGGGTCATATATTTAATCTAAAAAAACGTTTATGTAGTATTCTATAGTTGTATAGGGACCACAGTAGAAATAAATTTTCATCAAAATTGTTTGATTTATTTTGAATTGAGAGAAACTTTCAAAATATATTTTTGGAATTTTGTATAGCTTCCTAACATTCATGTCACTGTACAATGTACATTCAAGTTCATTCAATGTACCGGGTCGAAATTCAACTATACAACTGTACAAATACAGACAATATGAGGCAAAACGGGACGGTAGGCCAAATGAATGACATTAATGTGATATATGCATTTAATAATTTGTTTAGACCCCCTAGTGACGTCAGCAGAGGTTAGAAATAAATGGATAGATGATATAGATAGATAGATAGAAAGATAGTGAAGTTAGTTTGTTAGATAGAGACACATTGACTGTATTCAGTTTGAGGTTAGAGCCGGAGACAGCCGCAGGTCAACTCATTTCAGAGACAGGAACTTTAGACTCTACGTTATTAAACCCTGTTTAGGTAACCGGGTTTCCAGTTTCGTTCTGTTAACAAGTTATAAGATATTCAACCATGTACAAAATGTCAGTTTTTATGTTCAATGAACAGTGTACGTTCATAAAAAATAAAAATGTTCAATCTAAATAAATAACTTTGATATTGCAAGAGTTTTCCAACTGTTTTATATTCAATATTATTCAATAATTAGGAATGACAAGACGCCACAAAATAGTTCAATATGGATGATCAATATTTTTTTTTAATTTAATAAAAGCAAAGTTTTTTAATTGGATTCATGTTAAAAATTTACAGTGTACTTTATTTTAAACGTTTAGTTCAGAGTAACTTCAAGAGTACAGTGAAGGACTGTTCTAAGAAATTTTAAATATATGAGAATGGATGAAAATACTTCATGACTGCAAGACTCTTCTATTAGGTGAGGATTACCCTAGATGAGACCGTATTAAAAAGCAATGTCTGTCACATTGCGCGAAATGATTCTAATGATTATATAGCACCAACATTTTTGAGCCTATTTTTCATTTAAAAGTTAATTTACAAATTATAAAAAAAATTTTAATATTGATATGCAACTTTTTTACATAGATTGATGGTAAATATTTTAAAACAACATGATATTATACAAAAGTAAAATGTACAGTGTACACAGAGCCCGAAATATAAAAGAGTATCCTTTTTGGGGTCTTAACATTTATGTAGATTTTGATTTAAGAGATTTAAAAAAATGGAGAATAAGAAGAAATAAAAAAAAATAATATTTCATCACAAAAATATTGATATCAACAAAACTAGTTAACCCAATTCGTGAAACCCGGGTTCCAAAACTGGTTTTCATAACGATACCCTGTCTCAAGTTTTGAGCTCAGGCGTGTTTCACTTAATAATTTGATTGTCAAGCATATACACGGAAAAACTTTTTGTTTTATAAAGTATATACAAAAGATTGCTGAAATATTTATATTCTACAGGTTTTTGATCTTATTGTTATATTACAATATAGTGAAAATCATTAATCAAATGTTCCCATAACAAAAACTATTTCTACTTTTAGTTTAAAATTCTTGTACAATGCTCTGACATTCAAGCAGTGTTTTCTCACTGTCAGACCTTCAAAAGGATAAACAATCCTCTGTCTTAGGGGCTTAGGGGCTTAGTTTTGTACAGTACTTGTTCATTGCTGTATAGCAAAAAGCTTTTCTAACTTTACTGTACAGTGTTGTGTGCACTGTGTACAATAAGGTAGTCAGTCCTGTACATTTATATATAATCATGTAACAGCAGAAATGTGTATTGCTTTGAATAGCTTCCCATGGTGTAAAACACGTAGTTGCCCTGAAGTATCAATAACTATTTAAGTTAACAAGGCTATATTCATTTTTATTCCTATAGCCCCAGTTAAAAAGGAGTTTTTTACGAAAAAAGTTAAGGTTTCAGAAAGATATTTACAGTTACAGTTACACCAAATTTTAAGGCGCTTCACGCCCAAAAGTCCTTTAAAGTAACACTCTTTGAATGTTTTATTTCAATTCTTATTCTTGAATACACTTTTCCAGGTAAAAACGTGAATACAGAGAGAAAATAAGAAGCATCAAAAAGAAAGAAACAAAATTCAAAATGGCTGACTTTTCTAAAATCTTCCAACGAATGGATGAGACAATAGCTGATGTTTGTTTACGTGAACTAGACTGGGGGCAGATCAAGGATTGGGAGAATGGTTCAAACCTTCAAAATACAAGGTAAACTCAACGCAGAGATGTCGATGTCCGATTTAAAAGCTTTGTCTGATCAAGTAGGAATTAGATATTAATGATTTAAAAACGGATTGTTTTTGAGTGGGTTTCTCTACAAAAGTGGCTCTTGTAATTACACTTCATGAAATCATATAGGAATAACCAAAATCAAACACTTTTAAATCTAGAAAAACGACAATATCTTCCACATTATTGATCAGATAAAGGTTTCAAGGGTACCGTTGTCTTTCTTATCTTTCCATCGCGGAGGGTTACTTGAAATTACGCTTACAGCCCCTTTAAGGAAGCTTTTAAAAAATAACGCTTAATTTGGGCAATGATCGAAAAAAATTAATAGTTAAAAATGAACGGAAAAGAATGTTAACTAAATGATAACATCTTGCCAACTTTTGTTAATTTTTAATCATAATGAACTGACTTCTCGCCTCAAACCCTAATTTTCTATTCCCTTTATCTTTGCAACCAGATGGTGTGTATCTGGAATATTTCAAACTTTGACTATTTAATCTTGTAGAATTTATAGTCTAAACATTTGTTTTGCTTACACCATATCAAATTCTGACCCTGACTGAAGTTATATGCAAAAAAACTACCCTAAAACGATTCAAAAACGACCGGGTGTTGTAAAAATCGTTTTTGATCGTTTTTCCATGTTTTTTTAGGGTAAAGATATTGTAAAGTTTAATAAAAGCAAACTTTAACATTTTTCAAATCTTGGAAGTTTTGTAAATTGTTTTTATAGGAAACCCAAAACGATAAAAGGATTAACATCACTAGTTGGATAGTTTTCAGGTTTAGAAAATCAGAGTTTGAGTAATCTGCTCGTGTGAGTTGTAACCTTGATTTTTGACCAATTAAAAATAATTTTTTCTTTTAATTTTTTTTAAATTTTATTAAAGGTTTTCTGAAGTTTATCGGCTGAGCCGTCCTCTGATTCTTCATCTGATCAAGGAACTAACGGATCTTCAAAAGTTTTCTGCCTTTGTTCGAGTTTAAAGTAAAAAAAAATGAAAAATTAAAGGTTTTTAACTTTGAATGATTTGTAGTTTTTTTAATGTATTTTACTGAATTAAGTGGACACAAAGTTCTGAAATGTCACCTTAAAAATTACTTTTCAACTAAGTTAACCCCTGAGAAACTAAATATGACCTGGAGTGTGAACCGCAGGCCGATAAATCTCCCATGAAGAACATGAAGAAACTCAGCATATCCAGGTAATAGATATCCAGGTAATAGATATCCAGGTAATCGATATTTAGGTAATAGATATCCAGGTAATAGATATCCAGGTAATAGATATCCAGGTAATAGATATCCAGGTAATAGATATCCAGGTAATAGATATCCAGGTAATAGATATCCAGGTAATAGATATCGTACAGGATGTCTCAAAGCATATCCAGGTAATAGATATCCAGGTAATAGATATCGTACAGGATGTCTCAAAGCATATCCAGGTAATAGATATCGTACAGGATGTCTCAAAGCATATCCAGGTAATAGATATCGTACAGGATGTCTCAAAGCATATCCAGGTAATAGATATCGTACAGGATGTCTCAAAGCATATCCAGGTAATAGATATCGTACAGGATGTCTCAAAGCATATCCAGGTAATAGATATCGTACAGGATGTCTCAAAGCATATCCAGGTAATAGATATCGTACAGGATGTCTCAAAGCATATCCAGGTAATAGATATCGTACAGGATGTCTCAAAGCATATCCAGGTAATAGATATCGTACAGGATGTCTCAAAGATCTAAAAAAATGGAAATAAAAAACGGAATACAATTTTGTTTTAATTTTCGGCTTTTGTTTTTGAAGATGACAAAAACGCGTAAAGTCTGGACAAAATTATTTTTTTATTTTATTTTATTGAATGCCATCTAAATGAAATGAAAGTGAAATGCTGATGAAGGGAGTCAACATTAAATAAGAAGTTGTTTCATTTACAGGATTATCCACAGAGGATGCGACTAAAAAAAGGATCAAAAAATCTTTAAAGGGAGGGATTTTTTAGCGAACACTCCCTTTAAAGATGACAATCTGAATGGTAGATTTGGTCTTCTGCTTTCAATATAACCTTTCAATGGTTTACTAAATGGTTTGGAAAAGAAAGAAGCTTGTTTTGAAATGCAAGGGATGTATGAATGTAAGAAAAGGAACTTAATAAATAAATTACGTAAAGTCGTCTCTGAAGTTTCATCCTCTGTGGGTAACCCTGTAAATGAAAAAAAACTTTAAATTAATGTTGATTCCCTTTATCATTCCACGTCAAACTAACGTGAATTGAACGTAAAATTGAAATCTTTTATGTTTTACTGAAGATCTGTTGAGAAGAACAAATGCTTTTGGATTTCTAATATGTAACCAGAGCTGAAAACTTTAGAATGAAATATCCTTAATCCCGATTACTTAATCTATTATCCAATGAACACACTTTTGATTTTCTTCTTAAACCGTTCTTTCTTGGATATACAAGAGAAAAATCAAAAACCGGTTTTTTAAAATAAAGAGTCTGTATTAATTTCAAATGACGCGCAAAATTTAAAATTTATCGGCTTCACATACGCGACTCTGATTGGTTGAATTTTTTTCACTCTTATGGATAAAAAAAAACAAGATTAGGTTAGTCTTGATATTAAGAAAAAGAGAGAATCAAGCAATAATCTCGATATCCACCATTCTAAAGTTTTCAGCTCAGATAAGTTTTCTCTACGCATACTTGTGTGTAACATCAAAACTGAAGTCACAAAGTCGTAGAAGAGATTTCGCATAATTTTTTTATCTGCTTCTAATCCAAAGAGGAAAAATCAACAAATTAAAATTGTATTTTTATCAAGAAATTAATTCTTTATTTGTCAGGAGTATGCTTGATGCCGGAAAGAAGAATATGGAGAATAATAACCTGTATGATGCTCTAAACATGTATAACAAAGCTGTCGTCTTTGCTCCAAATATTGATGATAATCTAGGGAACACACAGATCGGTTCATTTTCAAACAACAGAACTCAAATTTTTGAAATGTTTTATAAAATAGGCTGTCAAGCAAAATTTCGAAATTAAATCTCATGCAGTTTAAAACAGATAAAATGTATTTTTCAATTTCTCTGTTTGTCCAAAACATTAGATTAAAAGTAAATTTTGTAAAGACAGGGTTGATCAATGATCATTTGTTTAAAAAGAATTTTAATATTTTTCTGTCCAACCAAATAGTATAAACTAAAATGTCTAAATAGTCCTTTCTGCCTGTCTTCTCCGTCTTGGAGATAATACTAGAGCTTTAGCAGACATCCAGCAGGAATCATTTTATTAAAGCTTTTATTTGATTTTCAAATATTTTTTGTATTTTTTTCCTGGAGATTTTATGTTATCGTGTTTTGAAGTATTATGTGCGTGGTTACCCACAACAGATGAAACGTCAGAGACGACAGAATAAACTATATCAGATTTTTACTTTCGCTGTTCTTTCCCTGCAGCTGTAATCTTATTTTTAAAATCGAATTATAAGGTACAACGCCAAAAGCCTTGAATCGTAATATTTAAGTTATTTCTTGTCATCATTAAAGTATCATCCTTTGTGGGTAACCCTGCTTTAAAATAAAGTTTAAATTTTCTAAAAAAAAAGTCTGGATTTAATTCTGTTTAATACGCAAGTTTTGCTTGTTTCTTTTAAATATTGTAACAGAAGACAGGGTTTAAAGAATTTTGTTAACAGGGCCCATTTTTTTAATGTTACCTCATTCAAACCTAAAAGCCTTGGCTTTCTGCATTTTTTAAATGTTGTTACAAATAGGTGAGTTTTTACTGCTTAGCTCAATTTTTATTCCATTTACATATTATCCATGCTCATTTACTAAAAAATAAAGATGATTTCTTTTTGTACATTTTGAATAAAATGTTAATTAAGGCTGAGTTGTGTGAATATCAGTTTGAGCGAAGGTTTGAGCTTGAGGAGCGTCGTGGCCTGGCTTACCTGGGGCTCAAACAGTACGCTGACGCTAAGACCGCATTCACTACGTCGATATCGTTACTGGAGGACGCGGCCGGGTTCCTGCCGAAGAAGTTTGTTGAGAGAAAAATGCAGGAACTTAAAGATAATCTTAAGAATTGCATTTACCCAAGACTAGAGTCAGGGGGGGAGGTGTCCAGGTTCAGCGCCATGAAACGACTGCCGGAGCTGAAATCCCGAAACCGGAAGTTTCCTGCGCTATCAGACAAAGTTGAAGTTTCTCAGAGTTCTCATCAAAAGCGGGAACTTTTTTCTACAGGAGAAATCGGGGCGGGAGATATTTTAGGGATTGAGAAACCTGTGGCGTCTGTTCTTGAGAAGGTAAAAATCTACTGTAAGTTCAGTTTATTTTATGATACATGTTTTACCATGCCAACCCAAGCTAAAAAATTTAATTTTTTCTTCAAAATTCTGAAGAATATTTCTTCTTCAAAATTAGAATTTTTTTATTCCACGGGCGACGTCCCGGGCATTTCAGCTGGTAATTTATAGAATAATGCTGGTAATGTATTTCAGCTGGTAATTTATAGAATAATGCTGGTATTTGCTAATAACATTATGTTAATTGCTTTGTGGACAAATACACAGGGGTTAAAATTTGTTTCAGATAAACACACAGAAATACGTTAGTGCCCACTTTTTATCATTGTCAAGCTTTTTTCTTTTCTTTTTTAATTATTTTAGCTCAAAAATTATTTTTAGGAGTTCATCCGAACTAACTGCTGGAACTGCTTAATTACTTTGAAGGAACAAATTAGCAAAAATGTATCTTTAAGTTAAACAAGAGTTATCATTTTTAATTTTTTCCAGCTTCAGACCATTTTTAAGCTTAAGATGTATAACTCGAAGATATTAAAGTCTTTTTGCAGTTTATTTCTTTAAAAAAATGTATAACTCTTATATATTTTACTGTAAAATCAATTTTACTATAGAATAACTGTCATAAAAAAATGTTCTTTAGTATTAAACAACTTATCAAATTATGGAATAAGACATTTTAAACTATTCACCAACTGTCATGTTTCGTGGGACACCCTGTATGAGCCAAGGCTATACAATGACTGTTTATTTTCATTCATTTTAACATTTTGTTTTAATTTATATATATATAAGTGTTCTTTTTCATTTATTTTAGCAACAATTAGGAATCCCCATAATTTGTATCTTGAAAAAGGTTTAGTTCTGTCAATTTCCCTCCTTGTTTCTACTCTCTACTAAAAAGTATTTTTAGACAGAAAACACAATTGAAAATCAGCATCTCATGATCTGAGTTTGTTTCCCTTTTGTTCATTTGACAGCCCATTTTATTTTTTTAAATAATCTTTTGTATTTGCTTATTTTTTGGTTTTTTAGCATTTTTTTTATCAATTAACTTCATAAGTTGATTTTCTGACCAGCTACAGGTAAGTAAAACTATTTGCTTTAAAACACCATCAAATACATCAAATAAAGAAAGGCTTAAATGTCTTCTTCCAATTCCTAAGTTTTATGGGTCTGACTGTACTTGAGAGTTAACCCTGACTAGTTTGGTGCCTACAGGCCCCCTATGGTTGCCCTCTGTGTTCTGCTGTAAAGTTCTGTAGCAAGGATTGTTTGAGAGAGGCATGTTCTACATATCATCCATCAGAGTGCCTTCTTACAGATATTATACTCAGGAATATATACTTTTCATTTTTACTATAATTATTCATCAAAATTCTGCATGATGCTTCAATGAAACCAACCTTTAGGAGGTTTGAGTCGATGATCAAATAATTATCAACAAAATATTTTGAATTTTTCCTCCTCATTTGAGTTATTTTTTCTTTGAGGGTGGGAAATTTTGTATCGTGGAGATTGAGATTAATGCTTGAACTCAATCTTTAAATAATCTGCGGATTACTTTAAACTTTATTCGATAATCCGTGAAGAGTGACGCCTGGTGGAAAACGAACATCCAATCAGAAGCCTTGGAATTTTGCGTCTTAATTGTTTTAAATATAATAGTCGTATTTTTTAAATATAGTCGCATCATTTTGATTTAATGCTTTCAACTTAATCAAACAATATCAAAAGTATTGATTGTTTCCAGTAACCGAGTTGAGTCCTGGCATCTAGCCTTGAGAGCTGTTGGTTCAAAACCTCTGAGTCAGATCCTACAAGTCGGATCTAGAACCTCCGGTAGGAACGGAGCATCCGGTTTAAGTTCCTCCGGAGACTTGAACGCCCTGCTAAATCTTGATCTACCCCTCCGAACAGAATCTGTTGAGGAAATGAAGAAGAGAAGTATAATGGCTGTATTCTACCTCATCATATTACAAATGACAGGAAAACTAGGATTAAAATTGATCATTTTTTTACTCATTTTTACTCATTCTTACTCATTTTTACTCATTTTTACTCATTTTTACTCATTTTTACTCATTTTTACTCATTTTTACTCATTCTTAGGAAATGAATGTGAACTGTAACAAGTTCTTGCTTCTACCTTGGACTTTTTAACAAAAGATGGTTTGGGGTTTTAGGGGGATAGTTTAGGGGCATAGTTTAGCAAAAGGAGAGTACACATTTCCAAAAATTGTAGTATCATGTGTAGTTTAAAAAAAAAACAATTTCTGACTATTATAAACTCTTCCTGTTTGATTTTTGATGAATATAATGAATTATTCAAAATTATGTCAGCTTTGACCTACATTTCAAATTTTACTCTCTAAATTGCAAAGTTACTTTTAAAAGAAGCATTTTTATGTTTTTAGATGTCCAACGGTGATCTTTATCAGAGGTTATGAATGTACATAATTTGTCTGGTCTAGATTCAAGATGCTAATTCTGGATACCCTATGTTAACTTAAATATCAAATTCTCATTTTCCAACTGAGCAGTTTAAAAATATCAAAATTCATATAATGACGAGGAAATTAGGTGCTGAACCTTTGAACTGTATATTTTGGCAACTCTGCTGATGGAGGAAAATTGCTAAAAGTTCTTTTTCACGAGTTAAGTCTCATTAATCATGATTCTGCTGCCCTTGTTTTTGACTAGTTTCTCGGTAATTTCTAAATATAGTCCCGAGACTTAATTGAACTGAACCCCTTTCAACACAACAAATATCTTTCTCTATTCTAAATAATTATTTCGGAAAGGGCAAAATAGTATAAGGGCCATAGGGCATTTCTACAGGTGTTCACAAAGAAACGTTGAAATTAAGTTTAGTCTTCATAGCCATCTTCAATTTTTACAGCCAGTCAAAAATATAAAATTGATAATTTAAGCAAATGAAAACTCTACTGTGAATGCAATGGAAAGAGAGTCCATATTAAATAAAGTTTAATTTAGTAATTATTTAAAGATATTTCTTAATTCTATTTTTGAAACAGGATACTTTGATACAACAGAAGATGTTGGAAAACTGAACCCGTCCCTATCATCAATCCAACAGATGAAGGGGAAAGAAAACGACTCTACTCTATCTGAACCTGAGTTGCATGTTGCAACCCTATTGGAGAAGATCATCAGAGCAACCTCGTCTTGCTCAACAGAGATTTGTCACTTTGAGATGGGAGGGGAGGAAGAGTGGACTACGGGTAAGGTTACTCCTGTCCTAGGTCGGAGTATAAATCCAACCCTAGCCATGGTTCCTCATTCATGTTATCCCACAGCTGCCAGAGTATGTCATGCCAACCAAACCTTGCTGATTGCTCAGAAGAACATGAAGGCAGGAGAGAGAGTGACAATAAACTACACTGCTCCCTTCTATGCCGCGTCACGTTCTCACAGAAAAGAGTTCTTGTACACAGGTTTTAATCTCAGCTGTGAGTGTGAAGCATGTAGACAAGATTGGGATCTATTTGATAACCTTCCACCAGGACCTCAAGGGTTGTCAGACCAGGACTTTCATCTGAAAGGTTTCAAGATGGTCGAGTTCGGTAATCCGGGAAAGCTCCAGGTTGAGGGATTTACAGCAACGGAGCGAAGTATTGTCGAAGCATTCTCAAAGGTTCGAAGTAAACTTGACCAGCTGCAGTGCAGTATTGTGTGTAGCGGGCCCCCCAGCAAGGTGATGATACAGAATCAAGTTCGATTATTCAGATGTTTGCTGGCGATGTACAGCAGCAAGCTGTTTATAATCAAGACAGAATATGGGAAACTATCTATTCCCGTCTAACATTGATGGCATCTAATAAAAAGGACTGTTCACGATTTAATTGTAGTTTTTCAACTTTAAAATCTAATAGAGATCAGAACCTTGTTTATGGTTCTTGTTAATAAATAACTTAATAATGTTGATAATAGTTTATTTATAAGACATAGTTATTAGCAAAGAAAAAGTAGGGAAGAAACATAAACATTACTATTGCTTCCTACAGAAGTGTGACTCGAAATTGAACATAAGGTTTCAAGTTTAAAAACCTAAAATTAGGAATCTATCTATGCTTGTTTGTCAGTTTGTCAAAACCAATAAACCGATCAGGCCCAAATTTTTTTGTGGCAACTCACACGACCTCAGGGAAATTTTATGAAAGGTTAAAATTTGCTTTAAAAATATCTTATTATTAGAAAATCAAATGTGTAATTAGAACGGAAACTTTAGCTCAATGAAGACGACTTTTAAAATTTTGTAAGTTCAGTTTAAGAACAAAATTATGTCTCAAACTAATAATAAAGTTTATTTTGTTTGGCCATCTAAGCCAACTGATTAAGGATTTTAAAAGTGAAAAACGTATGTTTTTGTAGAGGTCGTCTTATTATTTATTTTGTAGAGGTCGTCTTGTATATCAATTTTGTAGATGTTGTTTTATTATCTTTTTTCATTTTTTACGCTAACAACATTTGCCTTTTTTTAATAATTCAGCAAGTTTTAATTTTAATTTTTAATTTTAATTTATATTTTTATAGAAATAGATCTTTCTTTCCCTGTTACTTTTAGTTTCTATTAATGAGTGAAATGTTTCCATGTAAAAATTATGTTAACTAGTAGATGTGTGTCTTTCTATGAGTCTATTGCAGCAAGTTCTAAGCTTTGCATTAGATTTTTTTCTAATTTCTGCAAAAATTACCTTAACACAGTTCTTGACAGAAATTTATTTTTCCATTGCAAATGATTGTTCTGTAAATCTTTCTGATCTTACTAGAATGTTAGTTAAAAAAACAAATGAAATATTTTGATGCCCCATTGGACCCTGCATGGAAAGTTCCAGTTTTACAAGAACTTTTAAATACAAGAACGAATAATTTATATGTTGAAGAATTCGATGATTACGTATTAACTGAAATGATAAATGTATTATGTATTATATATATTAATTTTCAATTTTCAAGTATTTGGTTTCTTTAAAATGCTTTTTTTCTATCTTCTTTCCAATTTTATCATGCATTAATACTTATTCTGTTCTTTCTAAATCTTTTTTTCAATTTGGATTTTTATTATAAACTTTGATTTTTTAGATTTTTACCAAGTCAAAAAAATTGATGAGACATTTAAAACAAAAATGTCAAGGTGGGAGGGAGTCCAGATTTAACCTTCAAATCGTCATATTCATAGAGTTTCTGGTTGTCATAAAATGCTTTGTGACACCCCTGCATCTCTGCACATTTCTTCACATTTCTAAGCCATATTTTTACTGAAATATAAAAATTTCCCATTTTTAATTTTATTTCCCATTTTTATTTTAATTGTCTGGCAGACGTTTAATAAAAACATATTGTTACAGAGCTATATTTCAAGGTTCAGTAACAATATAAAAATTACCCAAAACACAACATTGTTGTATTTAAGTAAAGGATTCAGGAATAAATGTCATTTAAGTAAAGGATCCAGGAATAAATGTCATTTAAGTAAAGGATTTAGGAATAAATGCCATTTAAGTAAAGGATCCAGGAATAAATGTCATTTAGGTAAAGGATCTAGGAATAAATGTCATTTAAGTAAAGGATTCAGGAATAAATGTCATTTAAGTAAAGGATCTAGGAATAAATGTCATTTAAGTAAAGGATCTAGGAATAAATGTCATTTAAGTAAAGGATCCAGGAATTAATGTCATTTGAGTAAAGGATCTAGGAATAAATGTCATTTAAGTAAAGGGCCTAGGAATAAGGAATAAATGTCATTTAAGTAAAGGATCAAGGAATAAATGTCATTTAAGTAAAGGGCCCAGGAATAAATGTCATTTAAGTAAATGGCCCAGGAATAAATGTCATTTAAGTAAAGGGCCCAGAAATAAATGTCATTTAAGTAAAGTATCAAGGAATAAATGTCATTTGAGTAAAGGATCCAGGAATAAATGTCATTTAGGTAAAGGATTCAGGAATAAATGTCATTTAAGTAACGGATTTAGGAATAAATGTCATTTAAGTAAAGGATCAAGGAATAAATGTCATTTAGGTAAAGGATCTAGAAATAAATGTCATTTAAGTAAAGGGCCCAGGAATAAATGTCGGATCTAGGAATAAATGTCATTTAAGTAAAGGATCTAGGAATAAAAGTCATCAAAGTAAAAGATCCAGGAATAAATTTCATTTAAGTAAAAGATCCAGGAATAAATTTCATTTTAGTACAAGATCCAGGAATAAATGTCATTTAAGTAAAGGATCTAGGAATAAATGTCATTTAAGTAAAGGATCAAGGAATAAATATCATTTAAGTAAAGGATCAAGGAATAAATGTCATTTAAGTAAAGGATCCAGGAATAAATGTCATCTAAGTAAAGGATCCAGGAACAAATGTCATTTAAGTAAAGATCCAGGAATAAATGTCATTTAAGTAAAGGATCCAGGAATAATGTAATTTAATTTAAGGGCCCAGGAATAAATTTCATTTAAGTAAAGGATCCAGGAATAATTTCATTTAAGTAAAGATCCAGGAATAATTTCATTTAAGTAAAGGATCCAGGAATAAATTTCATTTAAGTAAAGGATCCAGGAATAATTTCATTTAAGTAAAAGATCCAGGAATAAATGTCATTTAAGTAAAGGATCCGGGAATAAATGTCATTTAAGTAAAGATCCAGGAATAAATGTCATTTAAGTAAAGGATCCAGGAATAAATGTCATTTAAGTAAAGGGCCTAGGAATAAGGAATAAATGTCATTTAAGTAAAGGATCCAGGAATAATTTCATTTAAGTAAAAGCTCCAGGAATAAATTTCATTTTAGTAAAAGATCCAGGAATAAATGTCATTTAAGTAAAGGATCCGGGAATAAATGTCATTTAAGTAAAGATCCAGGAATAAATGTCACTTAAGTAAAGGATCCAGGAATAAATGTCATTTAAGTAAAGGATTCAGGAATAAATGTCATTTAAGTAAAGGGCCCAGGAATAAATATCATTTAAGTAAAGGATCCAGGAATAAATGTAATTTAATTTAAGGGCCCAGGAATAAATGTCATTTAAGTAAAGGATTCAGGAATAAATGTCATTTAAGTAAAGGGCCTAGGAATAAATATCATTTAAGTAAAGGATCCAGGAATAAATGTAATTTAATTTAAGGGCCCAGGAATAAATGTCATTTGAGTAAAGGACCCGGAAATAAAATGTGATCTAAAAAAGTATCCGGACTATATTCCAATCCATTCCAGCAAATAATCCGGAAAAAATCCATCTTAAAAAGTTTATGAATATATTTCTGAATATTTGATTATATAAACATTGTATATTGTATACTAAAACACTGTTTACCCACTTTACAATATTATCTTCTATAATGTTTAAACATGGAATTTAAATGTTTATTTACCTACATAGGCGCAACTAAAGTTTGGTATAAGAGTGGGGGGGGGAAAGAAAATTTTCATTTAAAATACTGTTTTTTGTTATTTTTTATATTATTTAAAAATACCAAATGCATATGTAAATCTCAAATAAAGATTTCAGATCTCTTGTTGGGTTAAAATTCGGTTTTATAGCGAATAAAATCTCTTTAAAAATAGTGATCAATTTATCGAAAATTAGAAAGAAAAAAATTTAAAAATTCTAACTTAGTTACGGAAAGAACTCAAAGGAATTGAGTCTTTCCTACAAACTAAAATTTGTTCATCCCTATATCTTTGCAACCTGTTTTTGTAAACCTTCAATATTTTAAACTGACATTATTTGATCTAACAGAATACATAACTTGAAATATCTAAGGTTTACAACATCAGATTGTGGAAAATTCAATTCCAGAAAAAAATGTCTTTTATCAGCATTTTCTAAACGTTATTTTGAATGAATTAATGCTATTAACAGAGTCCAAGTTTTTAAGTTTTCTAAGACTTAAAGTTTAGTCCGTGTTTCCTTTTTATTATCCGCATCTATCCCATTTTAACCTATTTCTTGTTCCAAAATAGAACAATTAATCTAAGGAAGAAACTTAATTAAGTTCAAAAATTTTTTTCTGTGCTCGTGAGAAATATTAATGAAACTTTTTGTTTTAACCTTTTAAGCCTTTTGCCGCTATTTCTAATATCGCTTTCAATTTTAGAGATAAAATTGTTGTAGTAACAATCCCAAATTTACCCGAAGTCCTGACAAAAAAACGTTTTTAAAGTTCCAAATTATTTCAAGAATTTGTCCAAATATGTTTAAACATTTTTAAGGAATTTACATAATGAAAAAAACGTCTGTTATTCTTCTTTTTAAATGAATAAACTGAGAACAGTATTGAAAACCCCACATTTGATATGATTGAAATAATTTTTCGTTCTAGATTATCATTTTATTACTTCAATATTTTGCATACTTGCAATACAGTGCAATACAAACCTTTGAACAGTTCAGATTCCAGTTTTCATTTAAAAAAAAGATTTGATTAAAAATCAATTTTAATCCCGTTATTTAAGATATTAAATTATTTCAAAACTTTTTCATCAAATTGAACGGGTTCATTTATGATTGAAGGTCGTTTATTTGAACTTTACTCTTTATTTCGACAGCTACACAACGATATTAAAATTATCAAATTTTAATCTAAAAATACGCAATAAATTATTAAATTATTAAAAATGTTCAAATTTAGATTTTATGACGATTAACATGTATTCGACTTAAGTTCTTAGCTTTTGACTTTTTCTCACTCAATTAAACTTTTTTGAAGCCGGACATGTTACATGAGCACTTTTGTTTCAGTATTTAAAAGTAATTTCAAAATCCACATAGATTTTTCTGTAAGAGCTTGCAATCTTTGTGACGATCATGAAATCTTCAATGATCTGTGTATTATGAAAAGCTATAAGGTTACCTTACCCCTGACTTGATATGACGACTGTGCGGAATTTATTGAGTTTTTTTACTACATTTTTTGGTTCACTG